GAAGGAAGGAAGGAAGGAAGGAAGGAAGGAAGGAAGGAAGGAAGGAAGGAAGGAAGATAGCCATGATGGAGCAATCAAAGCTCCAACTGTTTTTTATGTGTGTCATAAAAACGCACCGTTGTGGCCTCCATCTTGACTTTTTCGACCATACTCTGTGAGCCTCCTTGCTTTGCCCCCACTTCTTTGTCCCCAATGTGGATGTCTATTGAGAATTTAGCAACATGATGCTAAATTCCCTTAAAGTGCATGATAGGATGATCTCCAGCATCTTTAGCACTGCTATAAAATCTCTGAAAAGTTCTGAAACAATGAAAAGGGAAAGGCTTGGGGTTGTTATTATTATTATTATTATTATTATTATTACTATTATTATTATTATTATTATTATTTGGAAAGAATGGAAATTTATGGAAGACACAGAGATAGATGCAATGGATTTTTTTTAGCTCCCTTGACGAAGATAAAGAAACAGGTCCTGCTGGCAATATCTACCTTACATTCATGACTTGGAGGCCTGGTGAGAGAGAAGAACAGATTCAGTGGCATCAAAAGCAAGGCTTTGAAACGAGAAGCAGCACCCCCCAGCCCCCCCACCCAGCAGAAGAGTGCTTTCTTCTCTTGGGAACATAAGGGCCAGTGCCTCATCGAGGAAAAACTGAATTTCTTTCCTTGCATTTCCAAGTTCCCTCCAACAGTTCGTCCTTTGAGTATAGCAACCATAATATGATTTCACAAAGAGTCTTGCTGCTATATCACTTTTGCATCGCACCCCCGGCTTGAATGCACATCTGCAGGAAAACTACTAAGTACATACAGACATGACAAGCTCCCTCCTTGCTCGCTTTTAAACTCTTCCTCAATCACTCTTCCTGCAGAGCGGCACACGGCTTCCACTTCCAACGCGCAACCATCCTGTGGCATAAAGTGATTTTGTGAGGGGTTCTTTAGGCAACAGTGTTCGGATTTTACTTTAATTGCCTTCAGGGTGTTTACTGCTTTTTGCACTGAACTGAGAATCCGTTTCCATTCCCCCGAGAGTGCTAGGCAAGAGCTGGTACAGGATGATAGCTAATGCAGGACAATGAACGTCAAGGGAGATGAAGATGAAGATCAAGCCAATGCTTGAAATCAAACTCTCCAAATCTCTCTCGGGAGCCTGGGAAATTTTGGATTAGCAACTCGCTTGCTGTGGGCATGAGAAATGCAAGGGACTGATTACAGGAATCCATAACAACTGAAGCTGAATTAATCAGAAGGGGAAAAGGACTTGGCAAGCTGATGTTCTCCGAGCTCCGTAGCATTTGGAGTAGCGGCGTGCTCCAGAACAGACGGTCTCGATCTGAAAAGACCAAAGCGGGCCAGGGAAGCCGATAAAACTGGTGGCTAGAGGGAAAGTTCTCATGCTGCGGTTGTGAAGACAAATAAGCAAGGTAACAGACTTTCATGACACATGCTTTTCTATGCGCTAGGGGAGACAAACTCCGTTTCGTAGATTACCTAGCAACAAACCCAAGGAGGCCACAAGAGTTCTCTGACAAAGCTACTGGAAGATACATACATTTCCAAACATCTGGAGAAGGTACCTTGCTCAGCTGGGAGCTAGCTTGGCAGGTCTAGGTTCAGTCACTAATCATGCAGGTGGCCAGTGACGGGAAAACATTTTAACTGCTGCTCCTGAACAGCTGCTGAGTGACACACCCAGGGAATACTGGGTTACACTCCCAGGATTAGAAGCGGGTCTTCAAGACCATGGAGGACAATCCCTGCTCAGGACAGGAATCCAGATTAAAGCATCCTCCCTGTCTGAAGACATCCAACGGAGACCTATCTTCACCCCTGCTTCCACTATAGAACTGGTCATCCTGTTGGGAAGGTTCTTCTAACAACCCATCTGCTCTATCTTCTCTAGCTTAAACCCATTCTCTCTTCTGGAATGAGAGGAAAGAGGCTTTGGCCATGTTCTACATGACATCCTTTCAGGTACTGGAAAAGTCCCATCATAGCCCACTCAGTCTTCTCTAGGTTGAACATCTCCTTCAACCTGTCTTCACAGGACTTAGCTTCTTTGTTGTCCTTCTATGAACCCATTCCAGTTTCTCTGAATCCTTTTTAAAGACTGGCATCCAGAATGGGACCCAGGACTCAAAACAGGACTTGTGGCATAGATGAAAAAAGTCACCTATATGATAAATAAGCTTCCTAGATTTTTCACCAACATTATTTAGGCATGTACCTGAAACAATGGTGGACCTGAAGATATCTTCCACTAACTTGGGCTGTTGGTTGGGCTAACCCAGTGCTGTTAACGTTAAATTGGCACTGGTTCTCCAGAAATTCAGATGGGAATTTGTCCAGGTAGAAATGCTCAGAGTGGAAACTTCTGAATACAAAGCATGTTCTCTGCCAGTGAGCCTTTACCATTTATCAGAACTGAAGTTCTTGAAGGGAAACGGATGGGGAGTAAGAATTTAAGCAAAGTAGGACTGAGCAAATGTCTGTAATTATTTAAAGGGTATAAAATACATATTAAACATTTACTGGAAAAGATGACGCTACAAGCACGCCCATGCATGTATTTGCATATACACACTGGTTGGAAAGCACATGCTGCTAAAGAAAAAGGTCAAACAACAACACTGAAGCAGTAACAACGCATTAAAATATTTGCTTTGCAAAATAAGGTCCCTGACAAAGAAAATGGATGCCAGTCTTCATAAATCATTCTCCAAGAATTCTCACCCAGAGAAATGCTGAACCACGTCCCTCATGCACCCATTCCTCTTTTAAGCAGAAATGCGAAGAGGAGGAAGGATGGAGAAGAGATAAGAAGAAGAGGAAGCTGCACTGGAAAACTGAAGAAAGAGAAAGCAAAGAACAACACGGAACAGAGGTAAAGTGAAGAGTTCACTGGATTGGGAAGGATGGAACAGCGAGGGCTTTTTTCCAAGTAGTCTTGGGAGTTCACAAGCAGGATACAAGAAGAACGCTGACTGTAGAAAGTGTGATAGGCTGCACTGTAGCAACATGGATCCTTTGAGGACTTGTAGCTCAGCCAGGCCACATGTTCAGTTGTGGAGTCCTTGGTGCTCTCTGAGCTTGGTGGTTTGCTTGCAGACATTTCATTACCCAACTAGGTAAGTGTGCTGATGATGTTACCTAGTTGGGTCATGAAACGTCTGCAACAAAACCACCAAGATCAGAGAGCCTCGAGGACTTCACAGTTCAGTCCTGAGCTACAGAGATTCTCTTCTGTTGGAATGTTCAATGTTTGCAACTAGACAGGTAGCAGAGAGTTCAGCTAAGGGTTTCCATAAGCAATGGGCACACAGTACTTTCTTATGTTTAAGGGTCTCAGGATTCATTCCAGTTGCATCAGCCAGCTGGGCAAAACTCTAATTCAGGGTTCAGTGGAAATCACTGAGTGGCCAGTGAGTGCAAGGAATCAGGCTGGGTTGTTTGAACCCTCAGCATTCGTGTCTCCAAGAGCTAGTGAAGTCCAAGGGTGGAATACCGATCCTACGAACATTAAAACTACCCAGATTGAAGAGATACTTCTTATGATGTAGGGATGAAGTTCATTCATCTGAAAGTTTTGTTCCACGATGCCTGGACCCTCCCCAAAATGTTTTTTTCAAGAAGAGGGATATCAGATGTTTTGTGTTGGACCTCTACAACCTTTGAGGGCTTTCTGACTCCTGTGATTTGGTTCTGTTCTGGTTCTCTTTTGGTTTTAAGTTATCACTAAGTAATACAGCCCTGGGAGAAAATACAGGAGTTAAAAATGCGAACATATGCCACGTTACATTCCAAACATCTTATGAAGAACTCTGGTTTTTTGGCCAAAAGAATTGTTCTATGGAGGTGAAAAGAAATCAACAGACATTAAATAGTGGATTCAAGATAGGTGTTCTTCATCCATTTTTGAAATGTCTGTCCTGTAAAAATCAGAGGATGGAGAAGCAGATTTCTATCTTGTCAAGATTCAGGAATATGTTAAAGGATTAAGCTAATTTTATATTCATACTGTCTAATTTTCCCCTTTTTCTTTCTTAGTTTTATTTCAGTTTGAGTTCATTTAATCACCATTATATTTGTGTATGTGGGTGGGGGGGGGATATGCATGTGTACGTATATGTATATACCACTGTTTATTTTTATTCTTTCTTAATCTCACCATAAACTATATAACAAAATTTTAAAAGCCATAAATAAACATCTTTTTTTAGTGGAGACGTTCTTGTATCATCACAACAAAACAAGAGTAAGAATATGGACAACAAATCTGAAATCTCAGGGTTCAAATCTCACTCTGTCGGCGAAGTCACCAAGTTTGGGGCAAGTTTTAATTCTTTTCCAGTAAGTTTCCACCCGTCCTGTGAGATGAGAGCAACAATGATCTACCATTTAAGATTTCTATGGAATTCCGCTGAAGCCGTCAGATGATCTACCTAGAAAATACTATTTCCCCGCTCATCTGTAACTACTAAAACCTGGAGCTGCTTCTAAAATGAGTTTGATTAGAAGGTTTGGCGTAACTAATAGGTGCCACCTGCATTCGGAACAATAGCAACCGACTGCGTTATTTTCCTGCCACAAAGACTGGTTGATTAGGGTTGTGTTTGTCATCTTGACTGGGGAACAAATGATTATAATTTTCACACACTTCATGCCATTGGTTTAAAAAAAAAAA